TTCCACAACGGTATCTCCTTAAACTCATATTCTTTGCTTATAATAAAACCACCGCCAATTAAGCGAAGTCGGATCACAAGCGCAGGCGGAAAAAAAAAAAGAGCATCGTGTTTTTCCTGCCGGGGAGAGGAGAGGAGAAGACGGTGATTTCACAACGGATGGGCAAAACTGGAGGAGGAGGGGAAAATTTGTTTGGGAACAAAGGTGGGAAGGAGGAGAGTAAGCGAATAGGGAAATAGAAATGGGAAGGACGAAGAGGAAGAAACGCAGCCGGTCGTACGTCAACGTAAGCCAGGCTAGCTATCGGCGCTGTAACAATGGAGCAATCTTGGCATTTGGTTCCCAACGGGGTCACCGTAGCGTGAACGAGGGCCGGAAGTCCGCCGAGTACCCTCGCTAATTGCACCTACGACTTCGCATGACCCCCACGTTTCCTCCTTCCTCCCCACCTCCTCCCGCCACCATTTCTTATTTCTATCTTTTTAACTGTGCGTAAATGTAACGTAGCGAAGCTTTTTTCTTTTAATCGGAGGAGCAAGTGATTTTTCTTTTATCCGATAACGAATAACAATTAAACAGAGTCTTATCGTGCGAAACGATTGTTTGTTTAGAATCTTGGAAGTGAACGGAAAACTCGTGGTGGGAGCGGGGAGGAGCGATTTAGCAAGGCTGTTGGCCGTGGCGCCCGACGCCGCGCAAATCGTCGTACTTCGAAAGGGCGAATCCCTCGCGGCGCTCCGCACTCTTAGATCCGATAATCTTAGATTGACCCATAGGATCGGTTATCTGGAGGAGCAGGTCAGGGATCTTCTCGCACCGAGCAGATCCGAGGTCCCCGCGGATCCTCCACCGACACGTCAAGAACAAGTCCAGGTAACGTCCTTTTCGTTTTTTTAAATAATAATATAAATATAACTCTTGTTATAAGAGTCTCTCTCTTTCCCGTTTTTCACGTTTATTCTTGTTTAGGTTTTTCAAAAAGGGCCGCAGGTAACCGCGCTAGTCGCAAATCTACCCGGCCTCAATATAAGAAATTCGATGGAGTTGCGGCAGAGTTTACCGACGGTAAGAAATAGGCATAGCGATCATTCGAAACGTTCGATAGACGTGAAAATTTCGAACGAGCTTGATTCCTCGTTGGTTAGCGTTTCCAACGGTCATCACAAATCGCGAACTAAACAAAAACATCAAGGATCCTCGGTAACTGGGTCAACCGCGAGTTTAGATTGCAAGGAGGCGCACGTTTCGTCGCAGCAACGTAGGAGACCACCGCGAGTCGAATCGGCCATGGAACACTTGTCTAACAATCGAAAAAATTCGTCTCGAGTACAACCGTTGGACTTTGATTCCGAACCAACTTATTATCGACTGCAGGTAATTTTCCATTCGTAATTTTCGATCCATTTGATCATTTCTCTTTTTTATCGTCGCGGGATTTAAGAAAGATAAAAATTACCTTTTCTTTTTTAACATCTCCTTTCGTTCGTTTCAGGATTCTCAATCGCGAACGTCGGAGAATTCCGACGTATCAGTGGCGTATAGTTCCCAAGAATCGAAATCTCGTCCGGCACCGCCGAAAAAACCGCTTCGATTATCCTTGCATCGTGCGGCTAGTCTTCAATCCGTGGAAAGCGCGCCGCCAGCTACGCTTCACGACGTGGTGAAAAAACCGATAAAGAGAAATCACAAAAGCGACCCATCACCGTTGGAAAAAAGTGTTCGAGCGGAATCGAACGGAGAAGCGAATAATCAAACGGAAGAATCGTACACTAACGCATCTCAACCCCCACCAAGGACACCTTCCAGAGCGGAATCTTGTCAGAGCGCGTTACGATGGCCTTCTCCTAAACCGAGACCTCATTTAACATCTGTCACCATGGAGAAGTGGTGTTAGAAAATAAAAAACTAAAACTCGAATATAACGATCCATCTTTTAACGTCATCTTCGATCTTATTCGAAGACGGATCACAGACAATTTCTATACGATGTGTAAATAATATTTTTAAACTTTTTTTAACGCGAATTTTACGCGAAAAGACTGAACTTACATTTTGAATTTGTTGATCGTTCGTACGTTTTTTTTTTTTTTTATATAATATTTTTCTCTTTTAAATTTCACGTTTTTGAACGATAATTCAATAAAGTATTCCATTGTACACATTATTATCTCGAATTACGATCGTTTAAATCGATCGATTAACGTTGAACAAATTGTATTTCGTACAAAATACGCGAAGCGTAAACTTATATCCGTTCGATTTAATATATTGTTCGTTCTAGAATTTTCTAGAATTTTTTCTTCTTACTATTAAGCGATTGTAATAGCTTTAGCTCTTACGTATATACGTGTATCGTAACAATATCAAATCTATAATATCTTTTTTCAATTGCTAGTCCAAGTATGTATTTTACAATTATTAGTATTAATTCAAATATGATGAAATGATCGTCGTTTCTAGAAACAAAGGCATTTTAAAAGTAAAAAATTATGTAATACAAACATATAAATAAATTTTTTTCTCTCTAAATTATCAACTTTTACATCATTATTATTGTACATTTCGTTTTTTCTTGTTTTCTTTCTTTTCTTCACTGCATTGCTCTTTTACAAAGTCTGGCAAGAAGACTGTTCATTTGTAGCAAACTGTTAATTCCATCCACTATTCCCAAATGAGTTATCCCAATTTCCTGAAACGAAAATTTTAAATTTAAACTATCTCGTATATGTGTATTTATATGAACATGTTATTGTATACAAAATTGATTTAATAAACTTTTAAACTCACTTTTACGAAATCTAATTTTAACGTTTCATCGATGAGTAGATTTTTTGCAACTCTGAATATATTATTAATTATATCTTCCGCGGAATAACCCATTTTCCATAAATGTTCCATTACCTGTATTGTAACATTACAAAAAAATCGTTTTACATTTATGTATCGGACTAATGATAAATCATTTTGGTAAGATGATAAAAGATGATCATACCCCGTATGCCTTGGAAATATTGCCCTCTGTACAAAATTCAAGCATTTCTTTAACGAGCAATGGATGTGGTTCGTCGCAAACTTTAAAAACATTTTCACTATTTACATGATTAAAACCATTATGCGTCGATTGTAAATTATTTAGAGCTTGTCTCATATCACCTTGCGCGGTAAACACTATTGCTTCCAATCCATCGTCCGTATGCGAAACCTGGTTAAATATGATAAAATATTAAAAATTATTATTAAAAATTAAAAGATTAATATATCTCGATAACATTTTTCCACGCGAATAGAGATAATAATAAATAAATATATTTAAGAAAACTTATGCCTACATCTTCCTTTTTACAAATATCGATAATCTTTGCTAAAATTTGTGCATCCGATAATTTTCCATATCTTAACATAGCACAGCGTGATTGTATTGGTTCGATAATTTTATCGCTAGAATTACAAGCTAACGCAAATCTAGTCGTGTTACTGTATATTTCCATAGTTCTTCTTAATGCTTGTTGAGCACCGCTAGTCATGCTATCAGCTTCGTCTAGAATTATTATCTTGTGTTTTCCTTTTGGTAGATTTACCTATAAATTTGAATCGATAATACGATATTAGCTAACTTACAAAAATGAATAAGAAAAGTAAAAGTATAAAAAAGATTTTTTACCCTTTTTTGAGCAAACATTTTAATTTTATTCCTTACTACGTCTATTCCTCGATCGTTCGAAGCGTTTAACTCTAATACTGCTTCTTTAAATATTGGTCCTAATAAAATACGTGCTAAGCACAATATAGTCGTAGTTTTACCAACTCCTGGTGGACCAGCAATGATGATATTGGGACAATTGCCTTGTTGAGCAAAAACCGATAATCTGGACACCGTATCCTCGTTACCAACAATGTCGGAAAATATTTGCGGTCGATATTTTTCGATCCTTAAAAATAAAAATTTATTTTAATTCTTTAATCCTTTTCTTTTCTTTTATCCTATATAAATACATTACAATTAACGAACGAAAATAGAGATATAACCTAAAAAAAAATATATTCAATTTAACGACGAGAAAACGTATATTCCAATTTATAGAAAACATACCATGGCAAATGATCCAACTTTCTATCTTTCTCTTTATTTTTTACGTTATAACCACTCGTTGACGGTAAAATTTCAATGTCCATAGATTCGTCGATATCATTCTCATCTCCCATCTTTGAACATTCAATTTAAAACGCGGGAAAAACTCTCTACCGCTTCCAGATGTCCAGTACATTGTTGAAACATAGATTACGTAGTAATAAAGAAGAGAAACATCGTCTTCGTCGTCGTTTTTGCTTATGACTTAATATCAATAAAGCAAATATAAATTGCATTACCGATTAATAATAATTTTTCACGCTAAAGAGATAATATCGTTAAAAATAAACGCTTGAAAAATTAATATTCAAAATATTTTATTATACACGTTTTATTATACAAAATAAATCTCATAATTAAAAAGTAATTGTAAAGTAGATGGAATAAAAAAAAAAAGAGAAAAGTGAATATTTATCTCGCGATAAATATATGAAATAAATGATAATTAATGTTTATTAACATAAATAATTTTATATACCATTTTATTTAAACCATTAAAACATAAATAAAACTGATACAATTAACTCATAATTATAAATCATATACCAAATTTATCATTATCGCTATTATTTATAAGATATTATATATTTGCAAAAAAATTGTATTTAATATTAATTAGAATAAAAAATCGTATAAAAATTATATCAACATTATTGTATTGATTATAAAATTTTACCAAATCGAATAAAATAATTTTATCGATAACAAAAATAACAAAAAAAATATAATTATCATATATTCGATAGAGTGAATATTTTTTCTTTTTAAATTTAATATTATTTAACAATATATGAATAAATGAATAACGATTGACGATTATATTACGGTTAATGATTATATTATTTCTTAAGGGGTCGCCGCGGTATCGATTAAATTTTTCGCATCTAGTAAAATCTCGCGAGATCGTCTCTCTTTTATAAGCATTGCGTTGGTGGCTTACGGAATGAGATTTCAATATGGCAGCCGTCGTGATATCTGCACAAGTCGGTATCGCGGAAATGTTTTGAAGTCGTTGAGTAATCGCGACAACCGGTTGACGTACAACGCATAGGTTAGTAAGACGAAATGACGTTACGTTTTTGTATTAGCTTCTCTGATTGAATCGATCAGTTTGTGTCAGGAAACCGGGTTTTCGTGAAAATTATTTTCCTCATCACGGTTGAGCCGCTAAAGTATATAGTTGAAACCGCAGTATTGTTCGAATGCAGACATAGGTTACCTTGATTTTTCATTCTTAAATCATACTCAAAAGCGTATCACGTTAAATGAGAATCCGACGCTCGTTTCGTTCAATCGACCAATGTATATGCATGTGACATCACGTATGTTTTGCGATTGTATGTATGCTTGATGTGTGTACGTTTTTCTCAGCTAGGCTATATACGTGTGCGTGTACGTGTCAGGTGTGTGGATGCTGTATCGATGCGTGTATATTCATAAAATGTTTAGAATCGTCGTTTATCTTTTATTTTCGAACGGAACATTGTTCGAGTGTCGCGCGTGTTCAAACGTCAAGAAAGAAGAAGACACGTCGTCGTGTATGTTTTTGACACATCTCGCCATGCCGAATGAACAGCATGGTTCTTCGGCCCGCTACATACCGAACAATACATTTGGGAACGGCGTTTGGTAAGTTGATGTATTTCTTCTTTACGATTCTTTTATTTATCTGACTAATTAATTCGATCGTCACAATTTTCAATGATAAATATTTTTCCCGTTACTTTATCATTTCAATATCATTTAAAAGTGTTCCACTTATATTTTGAATATCAATGCCGCGCAAATTTTCGTTTATTTTATTCGCAGATGAACGTGTCATTCTAATTACGTTATAGATTAGCTAATTATGTAAATGCCTGTTGCTGTAAATACATACAGTTATGCTTATCATTTTGGCTATTATATACTAATAATTATTTCCGGTTGTTCTTGATATTCGAGATACACATATGAGAAGTCGAAAGAACATGATTCATTAATTCCTGCTTAGTTTGCATTTTTCTTCTAAATGCATTTTGTTTCCTATTTTATTTGAAATTTTTTTCATTTTGTACGCACTCGATATTCCATATAACCGATAACTATTGATTTTATATAAAATAGATAAGATTGTTTATTTAAATATATCGATCAGGTTATTTATCGTGCGTTAATAAATTGTTACGAGGAAATAAACTTTATTATATACTATATTATATAGATATTAGACATCTAATTTGTTTTCGATTAATATTTACATTCAATTTAATTAATACGTATTTAAACGAGTATCATGTTATAACAATAACACCGTTTAACACGTTTAAATTTTTATCACGATTCATGAATTTCACGAATAAAAAAATATTTAGCTTTTATTTAATCATTTGAATAGTTCTTCTCGATGGAAAAACGTTTTTGAAGTTTAGAACAGAATTTTCGATAGTTATTTATAAATAAAAAAGTTATATTTTTCGTAGTACATGAAAATACAATTACGATTGATTTTATATTTATCACTAGAATTGTTAAGTCCAAAGTATATATTTTGAAAATACCTATTTTCCGTTTTTTGATCCTAATATATATTATAATTCTTTAAATTTATATCGAATAATTGTAAAATTCTCGAGAATAGATAGTTTCTGATTTGAATACGTTCTCTTCGAATTCGTAAGGAACCGTAGAAATGTAACGGTACTTTGTAAAATACTTTGACATCCAAAATCATTCAAAATACTGAACTCTCGTTTTAATTGGCCCATCTGCAAACCAATCGAATCATCCGATTCACCGTATGAGATATATCGTTGCATAGCTAGATACAATGACGGCAGATGGGTAGAATATTTTTCAACTCGTGTGAATTATTATCGCTATAATTGTCGAAAAATGATACACCATATCTCTATTATGTTTCTAGATGCTTACAGTAGCAGATTGACGATATCGGTTCGTAGAACTAGCGACTGTGAGCATTGCCGAGTGCGCTTGGGAAAACATCAATTGTAATCGGATCATTTTAAATGTTCGACTATAATAACAAGATAACAAGATAATATTTAATCGAATAAAGAAAACGATCAAAGTTAAAAAAAAAAATTGATAGGTTGATTCTATTCATTGAATAATTTTAAAAAATTTCTAAAAAGCAATCTTGGCACAAAAAAAAAAAAATCACTTTTCAAACAAATATAATTTTTTCGCGATATATTTATACGATCGCGCAAATAATATTAGAAATTGAATTTCAAATATAATAAAAATCCACATGACTCGGATAAAACATTTCGAGATGAGACGATTGATGCGTAGGCGTATACGTCGTGTACTTCTTTTCTGTCCAAATTTATTTATCCGTTGTTCGTCGTCCGGAAAGGGAACAGAATATACGAAAATGAATATATACGCGTTATATCCATTCTCATATAAAATATCATAAAACGATTATAAAAGATTGTTCGAACGGATCGGGAAGAAAATAATAATAATTGACGGAAGGAAACAATGAACGATCAATTTTAAAGATTAATCGATATATATATATATATTTTTAACAGAATTTTATCGAGATTGGAAATTGTAATTATTCGATGTTAAAATTTCGAAAAGATGCATTAGAATAGCCACAGAAACGAAGAATTTCTTCGATCTATAAATAACAATTTATTGCGATTGCACTGTCTTTAGCGTGTCTAGACCTGTATCTAAAAGAGGAAGCATGTGTTGTATGCTGTTCTAAGAAGGGAGAATATTCAATAAATTTGGATCTCTTTGTATGCTAATTTTGCGAATCGAATATTAAGCATTTATTATTACATCCACAATAAATATTTCAAAGTCACTTTATACTGTTTATTAATTTCATGTGTCTATATTATTCTATTCTATACTATATATAAATATATACATATATATATATATATGTATGTATGTACTTTTCTATATTGAAAATATTTGACGTATTTATTCTAATTTAACGAAACGATATTAAAATAATATTATAATTTTCGATCAAAAAAAAAAAGAAAAAAAAACTAGTAGAAATAAATAAGAGCGTGACCTAATCCAACCTAACCTAACCGAGGACAACGAAATAGTCGAAATAAGCGTTTAGCGAGAACTGTTGACAAGAAGGCTAGTAATTAACAGGAAAGCTTTTCAAGGATCGCTCCTCTAGATCTGACGCATTTTAAAAGCGCAAGGAATGAAAAGATGGTAACGAGCCAAGTGACGATATATCGTACGATTACTAGTTACACAATCCCCTCGAAATCTATGGATCAAACATCTTTGCACTATTTCGCACTGCACCCTTATCTTTATATCCTTGTTTTCATCGTTCTATCGTTTTAAAATTCAACATTTTTCATTTCATCCATATCTTTTTTTAAATATATATTATAATTCAAACATGCGCAAGTTATCTTTTTTTCTTTCCTTAAAAACTTTCCTAATTACCTTAATTTTCCCTCATTTTTCAATTTGATTTCAAAATTTATTAGTTTCAAATAGAGTTTCAATATTTTTCGAAAATTCAACTTAAAAAAAAAAAAAAATTTATGAACAATCATTTCATCAAAATTCAAAATCAATATACGTATATTTCAAGGATATTTCGAATAATTTGTCGCGATTGAAAAATTGATACGGAACGATCGATCATTCTTTATCATTTTATTTCCGTTAATTTTTGCAAAAAAAAAAAAAAAAAAAAAAGTGATATCTTGGTTAGAATAATATTAAACTTGGTGACGGAGTGAATGAATGAATCTAATCTAAAAATGTAGCATACAAAAAAAAAAGAAATATCAGAATACACTCTCTTCTGGGGAAGAAGAGAATCTATTCGTTCTCATTAATTAAAGAATCGTATAACTAACTCTCCAATTAAGAACGGATAATTTTAGGTGGTGTGCGCATCTAAAGAAAGTGTGCTGTGGTTTCACGTGAATACCACCGATATCCTCGACCCATAAAATCCCTATCTTATAATTTTGCTCAAAGGTACGGTCAAATTAGAAAATGTCGTAGAATTAAAGACGAGTAAAGGATATTTTTCTCATTTAGAATCCGTGTATTAATCTTCGCTCATTTGAGAAGAATCTCCAATATAAAATATTACGTTAACGTTTGTTCGTATCGATTGTAGCCACGATAAGTAGAAAATCAAAGCGATCTACGTATATCTATGTTTATAAAGGGGGAAAGATCGAAGATAGAAGAGAAAGAAGTAAGTTTGATTTCGAGTAACAGACGTATTATTACGATTATGGGGAGCTGTCGCATCCTCCAAACATATTCTGCACGTGTTACGTTAAAATAGGTAGCTTGCAATAAATTATTTTTATAATTATTTATATCTACCACCTTGACCTTTTTCTTCAATGGGAAAACGATATGGTGGAGGAAGACTGCTTTATCTCTTGTATTACAAGGCTGTTTATTGGGTAAACATGCAATGTATATGCGATCTTGCACGTATATCATCGTAAAATTTTCAAACACGTTCGTATAATATGATAAAAACTCATTCGTTTAATTAGAAAAGTAAATATATGTAGATTTAACAACGTATAGATCTTCCATTCCATATCTATCGAAATAGTTCGAAAGAGACGTAACACAGGGATAGAATCCGTGGCTTCAATCATCCACAATTTTAATTTTCATTTATTCAATTTATTTAACGAGTTTAAGGAATTTTCTTTAAGAAAATTAACGATACTAGAATCTCGAGTGGGATAGTTTTTTTTAATCGTTTTTATTTTCTGTGACACGAAATTTTTCTGTGAAAAATTGTTCGAGGAAATTGGATAATAATTTCGTGGATCGATCGAGCGGATGAATCGTGATATGATGGAATTTTATATTTATTCTTCTAAAAAAAATATTACGTTTTTAATCGCATGACGTAAAAGTAATGCGACGATAATAAAGAAACGCGATAATAAACACCGTAAATATTCCGGGGTGTGTCTAAACTCGTGCACGAAACTCTTTCGTCAACAATTCACAGGAGAATAATTATCTCTTCGAAGAGAGAATGAATATGAATTTCTTGAAAATTCCGGATAAATGATAGTTTAATTTGCAAAATGTATCGCTAAAAACATACGTACCGGTCTGTTTAAAAATAAATGTTCATCGAATGATCAATTTGATACAAATCGATATATTTCTATATTGTCGATGAATTTTGATTACTTTTATAACAACGAAAATCTAGGAACGTTATTTTCATGATCGATGAGTGAAAATCGGTAAAAGGTGAATTCAGGCTCGCAGGTGGAAAATGTAGAAACGGCAAATGATTATGCTTCACCTTGTACTTCTTCCGTGTATCTATATTCAGCCTATCCGGCCACTGTGTTCACCACTATTGATCCATTACAGCTATGTACAATACTGAAACCAACTTTTACACGAGGGTAAAACTAAACTTGGTCCTTTTTTTTTCTATTATTCTTCTCCTTGTTACGCTGCACTTGAAACTATGGAAGAACATCGTCGAATATTCTCATTTCCGCGAAGACGTAAAACCTTTTTTTCATCTATCAGAGAAAACGGTTCCAACATACGTACAGAAACTTGATATTTATCATTTTTCTTTTGTTGCCAATAAGAAAGATTAGGTTTAAATTTTA